TCGTTTCGATCGTGAAGCCAAGTAGCTCAACTCAGGCCGGGACCCGGTAAGTGAAAGTGCGCACCAAAGTTGGTAGTAAGGATGTGCGGAGAGCCAATGGCGTGAGTCCAAGGGTAGGCCAGGCCTGATCTTCCTGGCAGATTGGTTGAATCTCTGAGGGTGCGGCGCTGATCGTACCCACGAAGTTGCTTCCTGAGTTGTACCAAAGGTGACCTAAGACTACCTTGGCGTAGGTATATCTGGGTTTGTGTTAGGAATAACTCCCCAGCTGGGTTGGAATCGATTCGAGTCGTCGTCTCTCCCGAATTGTGAGAACTTGACTTAGCAGCGGCAACGTAGCATTAATTGATGGGATTTGATGGTTATGATGAATATGAAAATGTTACACCGGCTATGGTTACTATTGCATGTTACTAAATGATATTCCACATGTTTGGCACGTGTTAGTTGCTAATCTAGAGATGAATAGTTATAATTAACTTAGTTACCGAATTTTAAAATGTATAGCTCAACTAGTGGCTTTTATGCAAAATTTTGTCAAGCTAGCTCCACTTATAAAGCCTTGCATACTCCTTGGTGTCACTTTATTTCTGATTTATGATGGGTAAGTCTAGCTGAGTACATTAGAGTACTTAGGGTTTATCCCACCATGTTGCAGGTGAAGTTCTCGGCCTGCTGAAGATGGTGGCTAACCGTCGGTGGGCTCGGTGACTCTATATTTATTTCTCATCTATATGCTTTTGTCGGAGGATGTCACTTATGCTAGCAATGTATTTGAAACTTATATTATTGTAATCACTGAAAGCTATGTTGTTTTCACTAATTGATTTTGGAACCCAAACTTGTACTATTATTTGTGAACCCATTTATAATATTATTTTCGCTGTAACTCTGTGCATGTGATGTGTATTTGCTTAATCATGCGATCTTGGTTATGATGTTGATTTATCGAGGTTCTTCGTGATACTCGGCGGACTACTGGGTTTATATAAGTGAAAGTATGCACGTGTCAACGTGTTAAACGAGGACAGCCGTACTTGATCTTGTATAAATTGGGCGGTTCCGTCACACACTTCACCTGAGGTGAAGGCTTTAATTTTTTTTACTTGAGCTCCTTACATGCTTCTAGCAATCCTAAACTTTGAGTAGGTGAAAGGTCCTAATGGCTAGAGGGGGGGTGAATAGCCTAATAAAAATTTCTACAACAACACTTAAACCAAATGGTTAGACAATTATGAGGCGAAGCGAGTGTTGCGCTAGCCTACTCAAAAATACAAGCCACCTACCACAATTCTAGTTTAGATAGTGTCAATTCACACAAGAGCAATGACACTACCCTATGTTAGTGTGCTCTCAAAGGCTAACTAAAGAGCCACACCAACCAAGCATGCAAGCTCTCACAACTAGCTACACTAAAGAGCTTGTCAACTAGTTTACGGTAAAGTAAAAAGAGTGATCAAGAGGGTTATACCGCCGTGTAGATGAATGAACCAATCAATCACGAAGATGAATAACAATGATGACCAATCACCTCGGAATCAATGATGAACACAATGATTTTTACCGAGGTTCACTTGCTTGCCGGCAAGCTAGTCCTCGTTGTGGCGATTCACTCACTTGGAGGTTCACATGCTGATTGGCATCACTCGCCAAACCCTCAATAGGGTGCCGCACAACCAACACAAGATGAGGATCACACAAGCCACAAGCAATTTACTAGATTACCTTTTGGTGCTCCACCGGGGAAAGGTCAAGAACCCCTCACAATCACCACGATCGGAGTCAGAGACAATCACCTCCTCCACTCAACGATCCTTGCTGCTCCAAGCTATCTAGGTGGCGGCAACCACCAAGAGTAACAAGCAAAATCCACAGCGAAACACGAACACCAAGTGCCTCTAAATGCAACCACTCAAGCAATGCACTTGGATTCTCTCCCAATCTCACAAAGATGTTTAATCTATGATGGAAATGAGTGGGAGAACTTTGGCTAGGCTCACAAGGTTGCTATGTCAATAAAAGTGGCCAAAGATTACGAGCTTGAGCCGGCCATGGGGCTATAAATAGAGCCCCAGTGAAATAGAGCCGTTGTACCCCTTCACTGGGCACAATGCGGGGTGATCGGACGCTCCGGTCCGATCGACCGGACGCTGGCCCTCAGCGTCCGGTCACGTGATTCACGCCACGTGTCCCCTGCTTCAAATGCTGTTCGTCAGATTTCAACGGCTGCGAAGCTGACCGGACGCTCCGGTAAAACTGACCGGACGCTGAAGCCCCAGCGTCCGGTTGTTTCCAGTAAGCTCCCCGAGGCATGTTTTTCCGACCGGACGCGTCCGGTCCACCTTGACCGGACGCAGCCAGCGTCCGGTGCTCAACCCTAGCCACTGAGCCGTCTGACAGCTCGACCGGACGCAGCCTTTCAGCGTCCGGTCGCTGAGTAACCCAGCGTCCGGTCAGTAGACCGACGCCAGCATCATTTCGATCAACTCCATTTCAACTCTTACTTCTTCACCCTTGCTCAAGTGTGCCAACCACCAAGAATTTTACATCCGGCGCAATAGAAAATAGACATTTCATTTTCCTGAAAGCGCCGAATCCCGCCGAGCTTGCGAGGCGGGAGGGAGAGAGGGACCCAAACCCATCTTAACCCTACAAACACCTTGTGCACATGTGGTAGCATATTTACACAAATATTATCAAGGGTGTTAGCACTCCACTAGATCCTAAATGCATATGCAATGAGTTAGAGCATCTAGTGGCACTTTGATATCCGCATTCCAATACGAGTTTCACCCCTCTTAATAGTACGGCTATCAAACCTAAATGTGATCACACTCTCTAAGTGTCTTGATCACCAAAATAAAATAGCTCCTACAAGTTATACCTTTGCCTTGAGCTTTTTGTTTTTCTCTTTCTTCTCTTCAAGTTTAAGCCCTTGATCATCTCCATGCTATCACCATTGTCATGTTATGATCTTCATTTGCTTCTCTACTTGAAGTGTGCTACCTATCTCATGATCACTTGATGAACTAGGTTAGCACTTAGGGTTTCATCAATTTACCAAAACCAAACTAGAGCTTTCAGTAGGTCCGAGGTCGGACGACCAGTTGAACTGGTCAAACGTCCATTTAAACAGCTTGGCTTCTAGTTAAACTGGTCGGATGTCTTTTCCTGATGATCGGCTACACGTCATACAGCTCGGACAAGCTCGATGCGGCGTTGCTCAGCGGATACAAGATGTTCGGGGACAAGATGTGGGGGTATAACCCCGTAAATCCACAGGGTTGTACATGGGCTGAGCCACCAGCGGAGGCCTAGCCCACCAGACAACGTCCTGCGGAGCACGACACAAATCGACGTGCGTCGCAAGGCTACGTGATGATCCTTGATGATCAAGGACGATCTGTTCGGATATGCTAAGATATCGATCTCTATAAAGCTTATCATGTAAACCGATCAGGGTCAGATACAATGAATCAGAGATAGGCTCAATCGACCTATAACCCTACCCCCATGCTATATAAGACGGGTAGGGTCCCCCCTCGATTTGATCAGATCACAATATACAATTTAGCAAAGACACATGACGTAGATGACGTAGGTATTACGTCAAACTGACGGTCTAAACCTGTCTAAATCGCTGTCTCTGGGTCTTGTGTCACCATCTAGTTCGTATCTTATGCATCTCCACCTTTTCATCTACTACTGTGGGCATACCCCTCAGTAGACTGCCGGCCGTATTTCGTCGACAGGATGTTTGTTTCCACAAAGCTAAAGTTTAGCCCATGTTTTGCCTTATTTGAATCTATGAACTAAAGTTTAGAGGTGTCACATCAGGTGTCATATGAGGATATCACATGAGAGTGTTCCGTTAGTAATAATAAAACAAATTACACAAGTCCTTAGTAATCCGGGAGACGAATTTATTAAGCCTAATTAATTCGTCATTAGCATATATGTTACTGTAGCGCCACATTATCAAATCATGGACTAATTAGGCTTAAAAAATTCGTCTCGCAATTTAGTCGCAATCTGTGTAATTAGTTATTTTTTTAAGTTTATATTTAATACTCTATATATGTGTCTAATCATCCGATGTGATAGGGATTTAAGTTTAGCCGGAATAAACGCACAAATCTATTTGCCGTACTCAAGTTTAAACCCTAACCTTTAGACTGCCCACAACGTTGGGTTACTCCGGTGCTGAATTAGGAGAGAAAAGGATGAGGCACCGGCTCATGCCATCGTAGAGTGTGATGCCAAGTTAAAAAAATCGAGGCATGTAGGTTCACCGGTGCTGAAAGAATAAACAAGTGTATTCTTCATCCATCTGCTATGCAACTGGTGCGGACTGTTGGCCTCCATGACATGACTATTGGTGGCCCACACAAATAAAGCATCGGTGTTGATATTGGGGATAGACATGAGTCTTGACATCAGTGACATGAGTCTTGGCACCAGGACCTACTTACATGTACGGATCTGTTTTCGGCACCGCACAACGCTTAGACTGTCCACAGCGTTGTGCGGTGTCGAAAACAGATCTGTACATTCAAGTGGGTACCGATGTCAAGACTCATGTCTACCCACAATATCAGCACCGGTGCTTCATTTGTGTGGGCCACCAATAGCCATGCCATGAGGGTCAGCAGCCAGCACCAGTTGCATAGCAGATGGGTAAAGAATACACTTGTTTATTCTTCCAACACCGGTGAACCTACGTATCACGGTGCTTGATTTTTTTAACTTTGACACGCACTCTACAATAACATGAGTCGGTGCCTCGTCCTTCTCTCTCCTAATTCAGCACCGGTAAAACCCAACGCTGTGGGCAGTCTTATGCCGTAAACTTTAGAACACGGCAAAACAACCCGCCCCACCCTCTCCACCGGCGGACTGGACCAAAGACCAGACCCCACTCGGGCACTCACGCAGACGCAGCTTTCCCCATCCCCAGCCCACCAGCAACCTCTCCGCCTTCCGCCATCACCGCCGACGCCATGGCCTCCTCTCCCCTCCACCTCTTCCTCCTCCTTCCCCTGCGCCTCCTCTTCCTCCTCCCGCTGCTCGCCGCGGCCAAACCCGTCCTCGAGAACGGTTACACGGTCACCACCTTCGCCGACCTGAACCCGCTCCCGGCCTCTGGGCCGTACCCCTACGCGATCCTCCCGCGGCTCCACGCTGGCGACCTCCTCCTCCTCGACTCCGCCGGATCCGCGCTCTACACCCTCTCCCTCTCCTCCTCCCCCGGCGAGCCGCGCAGGCTAGCGAGGGGCAAGCGGGGCTCCGGGTTCGACGACGGCGACGCCGCCTTCGACCGGCCGCGCAGCGTCGCCGTCGATGCCGTCGACAACGTCTACGTCGCCGACCAACGCCACGGCGCCGTCCGCAAGGTCGCGCCCTCCGGTGAGCGAGCCCGCCCGCCCCCTCCTCCGTGCTTCCTTTGTTCCCCTGCTAGCGGTCCCTTCGCGCGGTCGTCAGTTAGGGTTTAGGGTTTGGCTGTTTGGTGGATGTGATGCGGGGAGTGTGAGTGAGATGGTGATCGGGACCTTAGTGGCTCATACGACCCATTTATGTTACCTTTGGAATGTTTGTCACAACGCCTCTGCATCGTTTTCGTAGTGAGGTTCGGTTGGGATGTTCATGTCGTTGATTGAAATTTTGCTCACGTGTTCTCACACCAAATTTGAGATGGTAGTTTTTTTTTACTTATCTACAAATAATTTGTAGATGGTATATATATATGTTGAATTTCATGTTTTTTTTTACCCTTAAATTATACTGAGATACTAAATTGGTAAATTCATCAAAGATTGGTTCAGAGCAGTCCAAACCATTGTATGTTTGACCCCTAAAACATACAACTTTCTCATCTCACTGGTTGCCAAGCTAACGCAATGGTATTCTACCACTTAGTATTTGGTTTTTGCCGTTTCCTACCTACTCTGACAGTAAAATATTTTTTTTTAGTGCTGCCATGCCTGACAATTAACTACTTGGAAAGAAAAGATATTTACATGTTGGCCAATAACATCACCTTGCTCCTGATTTCTTGCTACAAATTTGTCATTGCTAGGTTATACTACTACGATTGCCGGAGGCCTCTCATCAGGGCATGGTCACAGGGATGGACTGGCACAGAATGCTACTTTCTCGGCAGATTTTGAGCTTGTTTATGTCCCCAAAATTTGTGCCCTGTTAGTAGCTGACAGAGGAAATCGAATGGTTAGACAAATCAATCTAAAGCCAGAAGATTGTGCACATGAAAAACAGTCAGGTAAATACTGAATGGACCTCCAACTTGCTTTAACTTAATACTGCTGCATAGGTACTGTAACTTAGTAACTTATGTTTAGTGCTTGACTTTATTGTGTTTTACTCTGGCCACCTGTTATGTCAACAACATTTACCTGTCGTGGTACCAATGTCTTCCAATTTACAAATTTCATGCATAGCCTGAGATTATTTGTGCAGAAAGGCTGGTAAAATGTGCTGATTGTTCCAGTGTATACAAGTAGCTTTTCTTGATAACATGTATTCTGCCTTATCCGGATATGCATCAGGGTTTTTGCTCCATCATTCAACTTATATTTCAGATACTTAATAATTAGTTTCTACTAACTGCTTTGGGGATTCAATGATGACAACTTCATTTTTCCTTGTCTCGTATTTCTGGGCTCAAAACATTTTCATCTACAGTCTGTTAGCAATGCCTGACAGGTTTCATAAAAAAAAAAACAAAGCAATGCCTGACAGTGTTTTACTTAGAATAGTGATAGTGATATGGTGTTATGTGGACCCCCTGCTCCATTTTTTTTGGAGAAATCGTAAACATATACTACAGTGAATAGCCTATGTAGTTGCTAGTCTTGCTAACGGGTTTGTTGTAAAAGCTGTGACAATATCACACTGCTGATGTTCAGCTTATGGATTTGCAGGCTTGGGAACTACATCGGTGTCGGTCATTGCAATATTGTGTGCATTGCTCGGTTCAATTATCGGGTTCTTAGTTCGTCATTTTTACCCTGTCAATGTGAGTATTCTTCTGCTTCAATTCTTAATTCAGAGGAGATGAATACATGCACAAATTAAGACAGTGCAATCTGAAACATATAGGCAGGAAGTCTCCATCAACCACTTTTTCAGCAGGATACAGAAGCAGTTCCTGAGGACACAGAGGAAGGCAACTCTGATCAGCTTCTGCGACATAAAAAGCGCAGTTGCTAGCTCCATGGGCTACACCCTCCTGCTTAGACTGATCAGACTTGGCCGTGGCTATCTAGCCATGGTGTTCCCTAGTGTTAGGTTACAGAAAGAAGTTCCCCTTAGGCCTTCTCGTCGTCGTCCTGAGTTACGCAAAACTAGCACTGCTCCTAACATTGGTCTTAACAACAAAGCTCCCCTTCCTCCTACTGGGCAACTGGGGGATCTGATAAGCTTTGCTGGAGATGCCGGTGATAAGGAGGGTAGTGGTAATGCCAATAGTCAGGAGGGTAAGGTGCCATCTTATGAGGGTGACTTGATGGGTCTTCTCTACATCCCACCTGGCAGCGTTAAGAAAATTGATCACATGATCGAGACCAACCTATCCGGCTTTTCAAGCCATGTGAATCGTCGTAGATTAACTGTTAGTGGTTGTAGTGTAAGCAGGAGGGTGCATGGAGACAAATAAGTTTATCTGAGCTTGTCATCGTCCGTCTTTGAGCCTGCGTGCGTGTCACCTAGGAGTACTGCAGTGGCAGAATAAATTTGTACTACATCAGCGCCAGCGCTTTCCTTGTAAATATGTAGAAGAACTTGGTGTGCCAAGTGTTGCTATATTCTATATGGTCATGGCATGTAATGTACCAAGTGTTACAGAACTCCTGGATATGCCCTTAATATTATATCCGTTGCTGTTTTGTGAAATGGAAACGAAGGGGCAATTTGTATTTTTCGAAAAGAAAAAGTCTACATTATCTTCCTCAACTTTCGTAAAAGTCTGCTTTTTCTCCCCAAACTTTAAAACTGAGCAAAATACTTCTTAACTTTTAAAACCATTCATCTTACCTCTCTGGTCTTATAAGCGTTTTTTAAGGTGATTTTGTCTTTTTCTTTTTTATTTATTTCGGTTGAATCTTTAAAAAATCATAGTAAATTATATAAAAATTATAAAATGAAAAATCTAATTTTGTTGGACTTCACACGAGTAGATTTACACAGTGAACATATAATATGGTAAGTTTTAGTAAAAAGTTTTTGCTGTGGTTTTAGATTTATGTTTTTCTGTAATTAATTGGAATAATTCAGAACTGCAGTTTCGATGGTTAAATTATGGTGAAATTTTGTATGGTGTGCTAATTATTGTATGTTTAAACTGTAGTAAAAAGAGTTGTGCATATAAGGGGCCATTGGACCGAGCAGGCTTCGCTTCATGGGCCATAAAAGGGGCCCGTTAGGATCGAATATATTCTCCTTCTTTGTCCGCGTTGGGCTATATATGTCAAACCAGAGTCTCCTCCCTCGACTCCGCTCGTCTCTCCCGTCCCGACGCGGCAAGCTTTTGTGCCCGGTTCGCCTCGCCGCCACCGAGAGTGCCCTCGTTGAAGACGTCGCTCACCGGTGGAAGCACAGGTACTGCCTCCTGTTCCTCCTCAGCCGCCGGCCACCCTCGGTCCGGTGAGCGCTCACCGGTGGAAGTCCGTCGATGCCCTTCGCTCCGCCGCCGGCCACCCTCCGTCCGCTCCGGTCATCGTCTGATCCGCTCGTTCGTCCACTCTGTTCGCAAGTGTTTAGATTTTGTTTCATCTGCCGCAGATTGACAATATGTCAAACAATCGAATAGGCGGTCACTCAACGAGCATGGAAAAAGATGACAAATATACCGAACGTAGTGGTGGACAATTCGACACTGATGTACCAATGTCCAAAGTACCCGTGACAGGTGAGTTGCTGATTCAGTTTGGGCACGCATTTACTCAACCCTATTATAGCAATTACAATTGTGTTGTACTCTACAATCCTTTTTAAGTAGGGAACTTGCTTTTCAGATAGTACTTTCGAAGAGGACTTTGGCACCTCCAGTGATTCATGCCAAGGTGCCTGGAGTAATCTGAGTAAACAAGTTGTTTCGAATTTATCTGAAAGTGTTGTCTCGCTGGCTTCATTCAATGGTGAATAAACGAGCTTTCTACATTCGCCTTTGTTTTATAACCCAGCTCTGAACATTGAAATATGATCTTGTGACAGGAGGTGAATTGAACTGTGCGTGCACAGGCATGATTGTCACTTACGCACAAGGTTTTGTAAACATCCTGACTTCAGCAGATCTGCTTAGATCTCGTCATGATTCCAACAATTTTTCTTCCAGTATGAGGGTTGGTGCTACCAATTTGTTTGTACTCCATTACTTGTCTATTGAAGATTTAAGATCTCGTTATTAATTCTGTACATATGTTGGCTTTTTCATGGCAGATTAAAGTGTATTTTCCAAATGGGCAAGAAGGCAGGGGTTTTCTGAGACACTATGATTTGGATTACAATGTTGCTTATATGCAAGCCAAATCTTTTCCTGGTCTTCAAGAAGTATTTCTCGGTCCTCAATTGCAAATTGGGCCTCACAGCCAGGTAGTAGCTGGCTTCAAGTCTGGCAAATTATTGGCTGCAGCTGGGATAGTGACTGATGTGCCGACTGAGAAGTATATGACCTCTACGTGCAAAATCACTAGGGTGCGCTGCTGCTGGATTTCTGCTCTGGCTGAATCTATAATCATATTCAGTGAACTATATCTTTTGGCAACTAAATTTCCACTTTGATTACACAATTCTTGTTCTGTGTGACTTTATTTTGTCTGATCTTTATTTTTTTGTGCCAGTGTGGACTTGGAGGGCCTCTTGTTGATTTTGAAGGGAACTTTGTTGGCATGAACTTTTATAACTCGAAAGGGAATACATTCCTACCAAGGAACAAAATTCAAAAAATGCTTGAGTGTAATCTGGTACATTGTATACTTAAATCTATACATATTCAAATTCAAATTCTGAGCCAGATCAGGATTGAGGCTAGTGTTGGAAAGTACTTCATCAAGCACAATTAATAAACTATAGTTTGGGTCTGCCCTAAATCTGATGCATGTAGACCCAATTGCGGATATAGGGTTTTGGTTCCCTGTATGGTTTGGGACAGGTCGAGTGGCTGCAGATCAAGGCTTTACCAGTTGCATTGTTGTTTGTGCCTGTTGATTAGACCTTTGATGTGGTTCATGATTTACTATGCAGAGAGCCACTGAGCCAGGCCCCAACCACAATATCTGCCTGGACATGGCAAATTTGGCTAGGCTGGTTTGGTTTGTTGAGCCATAGTGCCACACACTTCTAACATTTATGAGCCGCAGTTTCTCAAATTGCATTATCCATGCTTCTCACACTACTATATATCTCACTTTACTATTGAGTTGGCCTGCATAATAATAAAGTAAATACAATTTCTCAAATTGCTTTGTCTTCCTTCGTTGTTTCAATTATTAGGTGCAACAACTTTGTTGACAAAACATTCTGTCAATATATCAGTTGTTCTCAATAAAATTACATGTCATCAAAGTATCCCTTTTTCATGAGAATGCAAGTACCCTCCTAAAAGGCATCTTAAGTTGAAAGTACCCCTACAAGAAAAATAGTTACATTTACCAAATACCCCTACAAGAAAAATAGTTACATTTACCACTGATAAATTTCATCCACTTGCAACTATTTTGATGCATGTTGCAGAAAACTACAACTTTCAGCGCATATTGCGGAATCCTACAACTATTTCGACACTATATCATGGGCCCACCTGTTATGTACCATAGACGATGACGGATATGTCCAGAGTGACAAAGTTGTAGTTTCTTATATCACTTGTCAAAATATAGTCGCTGTAGACTTCTGCATTGGGCACCAAAAGTTGTGGTTTTTTGCAACACACGTCAAAATAATTAAGTTTTTGAAATTCTCTATTTCTTTTCTGGCTCAACGTTAGCACATGTTAGGAGATATAACCTTAGGATGGTTTTACATGGAAAGAGGAGGATAGTCAGAGTTTGTTTAATATCGTAGTGTATCATATTTTTGTCATTAAGTTTCTTTTAGTACATCAGACAAAATTAGAAGTATTCTAAATCTTTCAATGTTCCTTCTAGCCACTTAAATCGACCACTCAAGTTCATATCACAGCAAAATATATTGAAATATTGGAACAAAAAAGAACCTTGAGAATGTATTTTGCAATAGGATTAACCTTGCGAGGGCAGTACCAGGAGGGCATTTCTGTTCTGGCTCAACGTTTGCACATGTTAGGAGATATATCACAGCAAAATATATTGAAATATTGGAACAAGAGAACCTTGAGAGTGTATTTTGCAATAGGATTAACCTTGTGAGGGCAGTACCAGGAGGGCATTTGCAATTTTGTCTTATCTTTTTCCCACGCCTGCATGGTGGGGCATAGAGCACATTACCCCTGGAGGCCTAGACAAGAATATTTTTTACCATTAGTTGCGTTGCCATTATCTTACAAGGATTCATGATTCTATCATCAATAATTATAGTTTGAAATTAAAATTGTATTAAAAGAATTCAAAATAAGTCTATTGAAAATGGTGATCATAGGTCACCGGCACTGAACCTGAGAAGCAAACATTCAATGTTATTGTTTTTGCCTATCATTGTACAATCGATTTGATGCTAACTTCGTGGAAGTAGCTGAGTTTACCACAATCTGCTACAGGAATGCAATCGAGCGAGATAGGACAATAGACAAAGACCCACCTGCAATACAGAAATATCCGATTGTCACTAGTGAGGGTGAGCAAAGCTTAATTACTCGTTAAATTGCTAATTTGTGTGCTGTCAGGATTGCTTTCATTATTTATTTTTCATAGTGGTGAATGATTAGTTTTGGGTTACTTTTTTTTCTGTCCATAAATATAGTTTATTATTTTTATATACATCTTGGATAGATCAAGAAGACACTTAAAATGACTAAACTACCTAAAAATGTTACCTCTGGCTATATTCAATATATGCATATATAAGCAAGGAAATATTTCATAGGGTATGTTGGTAATAAGATGCTCATTTTTTTGAAGTATAAAATAAAGCTCATATATAGTGCCACACTGCATCTACGGACCGAATAGTACGTAAGAGCATCTCTAACAGTATCCAACATTTTCTTTCTAAAATCATCAAGTTTTACAACTCCTAAAAAAATATTAGAAGGTGTTGGGTTCATAAACCCGGGGTCCCCAATGGGCCCGCTTCCTAGCAAAAACTCGGTCTAGCAAACGGCGTAGCGACAACGCGCGCCTCCCGGGCCGGCCCAGATACCTAATGACAGGCCGGGAGAACGATCTGGTCCCCGACCGGAAGGCCTGGCTAAGGTGGGGACATAGTCCGACTCCAACCTCCTTTTCCGACCGGGGATACGTTGGACCTCTGCTCGCGGCTCTTCCACGACTGACACGGTCGGGGCCGACTGGTAACGACCAACCGGGGACGCCCGCTCGGTAAGGGCCTAGGGATCAGGCGGAGCAGATAAGGTAAGACGCTCAAAACAAACCGCAATACCGATGACCGTATGCTACCATACCCTGCGCACCTGCTGGACGGTGCTACCAGGCCATGCCAGATAGGCACTATGCAACCTTCCAGGCGTGTTAGAACACAAACAGTATCGTAGGCGCCGACGTTTTCCATACCAGGCGAACACGGTAGAGCCTGCCACATGCATCTGGACATAAACAGTATTGTGGGCGCCGATGACCATCTTGTACCTGACAGCATGGGCAACAAGACTAGGTAGCACACGTATACATTATCTCTCTTTCTCTGACTTGTAAGGCCATCCCCTTCTACTATAAAAGGGGATGAGCTCTCTCCTAAAAAGTGGTCTCTAGGTCTCTGGGTCTCTGGCTATTCTGACTCTGGCTCCCTGGCTCTCCTCAAAAAAGAGAAGTTAGACGGTTCGAGCACTCAAGGACCCGAGAACTCGAATAGCTCAATAGCTCTAGAACTCTAAAGCTACACAGAGCATACGCTCCAATACTTAGCGCACGTTAGAGCCCCATCACTCTCGGCCCTTCGGTTTAGAGTCCGACCAGGCCTTTAACACCCCCTTCTTATTCCTACTCGTTTGTAACCCCACAACAAACTTCGAGCACCTGGGCTCAGGAATAAAGTCACCGACCGACTGAAACTGGACGTAGGGCACGTTGCCTGAATCAGTATAAATCCTCTGTCATTGAGTGCTAGGCCACATCCGATCACAACACACGACAAAACTACAAATATTTACTTGTTGGTCACTTTTCGCACCGACAGTTGGCGCCATCTGTGGGGACCTCGCCGTGCGTTCATGCTTTTTGTCATCGGATGGCCCACCTTTCCACCATCTTTGTCATGGAGGGCTCGAGCGATACGATTTGCTTTGGCTCGCTAGAGTTCCCCACGCTCCCACCCGTTAGGATGTGGGTTCCTCCCGTCTTCGTGCCACTCCAGACCTTCCTCTTTGGGAGTCTGGACTTCGTTGCTGACCGGCTCAGTGTACTCCGCCTCCGCGAGGAGGCACTCGTCCTGGCATCCGCTGGAGGAGGAGCACCCTCCACTGGCCCCAGACCACCCGACGACCTCAACGTCGAAACCCCCGCGCTTCACCTCAAGCCCATGCTGGGCTCAAACTCCACGGTGAGTAACATATATGTTGTTCTTTACTCATTATTTAACACCTTCCGCCGACTCTCCAGAGGGACCCCGTTGTCCCCACTGCGACCGGTTCCCCTACGACTTTGCATCCCCCGGGGACATGTACGTGAGGGGGCTCCGAAGGATGCTGATGTCGCCCCCTCTCACATCCAATTCGTATGGATGGCGGTCTACGCTCCCGCCTCCTTTCACGACTTCGTAGATGACGAGGTCGAAAGCGACGGCTCCAGCATCAGCGAAGTCATGGCACCTAGCCACCCTCTATCCTGGGAGTGCACTATGGCGGATGCCCCGGGACAGCCACCGGTGGTAGTGGAATCTCTACAGACTCACAACCCTCTGGATGCTCGTGCGAAGGCCCTCGCACGTGCGCAAGAGCACGGCAAGGAGTTACGACAAAGACGGTAGAGTCAGCCGCCACCTGCGCCGGTGCGCTCGGTGCAGCACGCTGCGCCACATGTGCGCAACCCGGCGAGCGGCGCTCGGTGTCGTGCTCGCTAGGTCCACCGTAACATCCTGAACGGAGAGAACGATCCCCCATAGTTTGCTTGGGCTGGCCAGAACATCGCTGCTGCAGCAATGCTTATGTGCGGCCCTCCCGAGCCTACCGACCCCTAGGAACAGGCAATCCACCGAAACCTCCAGGCACTGGTGGAAACCACCGCCGTTCAACAGGCGGAGAGCTCCGCGTCGCGACACCGGCTCGCGACCTCTTGCCCCACTAGGGTAATGGGGCCGCACCGGTGTAAGGTCGAGATAGCGGACTAGAGGGGAGGTGAATAGTCATTTCTAAAATTAATCACGTCGGCTAACCAAAACAAGTGCGGAATTAAAACTATCGGTCTAGCCAAGACTATACCCCTCTATCAATGTTTTCTAGCACCTTGCAAAGATCCTAATTAAGCAACAAAAGTGCTGGGCTAGCTAGAGCTCACCTAACCAATTCTAGAAGCAAGGTCAGACAAACCTATGCCACTAGTACTTCAAGCAACGAGAGAGTTCCTACACATGCTAGTAAGCAAAAGCACAAAGCCACCTAAGCTCACTAGCAATGCTCAATAACAAGGCAACCAATGCCAAATTAGAGAGTGCAAATACTTAGCTACACAAACTAAGAATGTGACTAACAAGGTTGCACAAACCAAATTAGCCACGCAAGGGAGCTACTTCTATGCTACACAAGTAAGAAGGTAACTAGTGAGCTACACAAGCTAACTAATCACAAGAGCAACTACACAAGCACAATGTATATGAAAGTAATTACTAGCTTGTGTAAGGGGATTACGAAACAACGGGAAGAACAATGTTGACACGGTAAATTTTCTCCCGAGGTTCACGTGCTTGCCAACACGCTACGTCCTTGTTGTGTCGACCGCTCACTTGGTGGTTCGGCGGCTAATTGGCATCACCCGCCAAGCCCGTACGTCGGTGATAGGTCGAGATGGCGACTAGAGGGGGGGTGAGTAGTCCTTTTTAAAACTTAATTGCGTCGGCTAACCGAAACAAGTGCGGAATTAAAACTATCGGTCTAGCCAAGACTACACACCTCTATCTATGTTCTTTAGCACCTTTCAAATATACTAATTAAGCAATTAAGGTACCGGGCTAGCTAGAGCTCA